CACAGTGCGGGTAGAAACAACAACACATAGAGTAATAAAAAAATCAGTTTAAAGTGTCTTGCTTAGATTAAAAAAAAAAGAATATTTTGCACCAATGTATCAAACACGTTGAAGGGGAAAATGACTACTTTGCTGATAAAAATGTTGTCACACCAAAAAAAAAAAAAAAAAAAAAATTAAGTTCTGGACAAGTCACCATTCTCAAATAATTGTTGTGTTTGTGTTATTAATAAAATAGAAAGGACAAAATTAACTTGTTTGCAATTAATTGAGTGCACAAAGKTGACATTAAAAATCAAAGTCATATGACTTTATTTAAAAATCATTATTGGGTGAAATAACTGTCCATTTAATCCCTAGACTGCTTTAACAATTTTTTTTCGCCCATTCATTTTTACAATGCGAACACTCATGGCAGAAATCTTTAATCTAGGTCTTTTTTTTTCTTGGTTGGCCACCGGACAACCGGTAGGTGGGATCTGGTTGTTCGAAAYGAAAATAGTTTGTCTCGGACAACCTAAACACTGGTTGTGCCAACCCCTGTTTTACGTTGATAAAAATAAAAAACTTCATTCTGAWGGTGTGGCAGCTTTTATTTTGCCGTGGCGGAGCGGCACAATCAGTTACATGTAGGGGAAACCCTGGGAAATGTTTATCCTTTGCAGGGTTGGGCATAATCGTATCGTGTGCAATTAATGGCCAGAAAAACACTAATCGATTTATTTTTTGACACTTGACAATTAATACGATTAATGCCAGCAGGCAGACTGACTGAAGATTTCTCCAGTCAGTTTGCTTGGTGCTCCTCTCTGCTTCGAATGTGACAAACATTTAAAAAAAAGTTCTGTAATTTATTTATCTACCAACACAATTTAAAATTTGATGTATAGCCTGAAGTCTGTGATTNCAACACAATTTAAAATTTGATGTATAGCCTGAAGTCTGTGATTTTGACACAAWTTGGAACCRATTTTTATGAAGAGCAAGTCTTTCCCACTAAATTGGTCATGTGACTAGGACAGGTGTCCCGGGACTSCAGGGGATTAATCGTCAAATGAATCGTTATCAGCTAAATWCCACAATTAATTGTGATTTATTTTTTTGCCAAAATTGCCCAACCCTAATCCTTTGCATGTATTTTCAGAAGTCTGCTTAGTGTTAGAGATGCACCGATTCAGGATTTTTAAATAGATTTGACCTGCCAATACTGATTTTCCACTATCAATTTTCTTTCAGTGAACTAACCCATACAAAATCATGTTGATTCCAGATGATTTTCTRTGTCTTAAAACAAACATCCTCAAAGAAAACTTTTATAATGATTACATCATGCACTGTTACCAAGTAATTATAGGTAATTATAGCTATTTGCTGTTATAAACAATTGCTAGATGACATTATCTAATTAGCATATTTGGTCATTTTAATTTAATTGTGATCTAAGCTTTAGAAGATAAATATCGATGATGGAGTGACATAAGTGAGTGAAAAATTAATTTGTAGAACTACAATTGAACTTCAGAAAATTATTCACGACTTAAGTGATTTGCCTAGAACAAGATAATCACATTTTTCTTGTACAGTTTCAGGTAAAAAATTTCAAATAGGGCTGCACGATATTAAAAAAAACCTGCAATGTGCGATAACRSTGCTTAATATTGCGATGACGGTATGACTTGTGATAAATGAATGTACTTAAACATGCAGCGTTCATGTCTTTCTGTACTGGGTTCAGAGCAAAAAACAACTATATCTTCATTTCCATTGCAACATGACAGTTTTATTTTTAGAAAGTGCAACTAGGCACAGTTTCTGTAYTAGCAGTGAAACAACAAACTGCGTGCAATACAGTTTCTACAGTCACTTGTTTGCTATCCATCTGCATCTACACAGAGTACGTACATCTAGTGTAAAGAGATTCTGATTGGCAAAATACATAAAGAGCTCCATTTAATGGGTCAAATACTTCAAGATAGTGTGACAAAATGCATAAATGCAAACATTTGAGCCAACCATTAATTTCAATCTATGCCRTTTTTGGCGATATGCCTATTGCAGTTTGTTATTGCAATAACAATAAATTTTCAATATATTGTGCAGCCCTAATATCAAATTTATGATTAAAAATTCTATTTAGGCACTGTTGATGGGAATTAGCTAGAACACTTATCATCTCGAACAGCCCATTTTGCCTACATCCGGGTTTATCCTCTATCCATGTATCAGATTTGTTTTATTTGTTCGACCGGTCTTTGGTTTTAGCTAATCAAGGTGAAAACTGGCCAATACCGGTTTCAGGCTAATTACTCAATGCATCCCTGCTTAGTACAGTGGGGAAAATAAGTATTTAGTCAGTCACCAATTGTGCAAGTTCTCCCACTTAAAAAGAGGAGAGAGGCCTGTAAT